CCACGCATGCACATGCGCCCAGCGTGAGTTCAAGCCAGTGGGTCTGGGACTTGAACTGTGGTCAACTACATGGGAATCCAGCGACATAACCATTATGCCACCTGCTGGTCCCAATTACTACTACTAATTGGGACATCAAATTTTTGTCTTTGGTAAACTTGAATTTGAAAACCCTAATAATTACTATGAGTTGTTTATTTTATTTTTTTAAAGAATTATCTATTCAATTTTGTTTATTTATTTCATTTATTTTAATTTGACCAGAGAGAGGTAGAAAGAGAGAGAAGAGGGAAAGTTGGAAAGCAAGCCACCAGATCTGGGACTTGAACCATCATCGGCCATGTGGGAGTGTCAAATACCCTAACCACCACATCACCTGCTAGTCCCTGAGTTGTCTATTTTAGATAGACATTTTAATAAAATATGTGTTTCCTACTGAATATACCTTATTCTGAAATTTTCTGCAGTTAATTTATCTCTGAAACATTAAAAAAATTTTTTTTTCAATTTGCTATAGGTCTTACTTACTGAAGAGAGACAGAGAGGGAGAGTGAAAGAGAAAGGGAAAGTGAGAAAGCACTCTCTAGAGATGCTAGCCATGCCACAATTCCTTCTTCATTCCCCTTTTGGAATTTTATACATGATTGCACATGTACCTGGCATGTTTTTCAAACTGCTGGGTCTAGGACATGAATCATGCAGTTAGCCATGTGGGACCCAGCTGCCTTAACCACCATACCACTGACTGGCCCTCTTATTCTTTAATCCTTTGATAATTCATAGAATTTTAGAGCTTGAAAAAGTTATAAACATTTCTAGATGCAAGGCTTTATATACCAATAAATTTTCTGCTTTACTTATGTAAATTTCTATTGTTAAACAAGATAATTGTATAAATGCATTCTGCTATAAATGGTATATTAAAAAGACTAATACAATTATTATAATATTAACAAAATTAGAGGGAAAATATTTTCCTTTGTACCTTTTTTACTTTTTATTTTTTTGCCATAGGGTACATACACTTGCCAATGAGAGACAAAGGGAAGGAAAGTGATAAATTACCCCAAGGGGAATGACCACGCTTTAATCCCTTTTCCTCCATTCTGTCCTTGGGATATTGGGCATGCATGCACATGCTCGTGGCATGGTTTTCAAGCTGCTGAGTCCAGGACTTGAACTGTGGTCCATCCTGTGGGAGTCCAGTGCCTTAACCACTACGCCACCTGCTGTTACCTCTTGTTCTTTTCCTAAGAAACTTGTTCATTGATGGCGAAATACAGATATATAGAACAATAGAAAAGGCAATAAAAGTACGTGGCCTTTATAATCTGTAGAAGAGGACTATCTACATGTGAAATAAGTGATTTCTTTCTAATTTGAGAGCGCCTTTATTGGCCAGATGTCTGTTTCAAGTACAGTATTGTGTATTATAGCAGGTGCTTAATAACTAGCTGTTGAATGGATTCAAATACTCCTTTGGGTGGTCCATTGAATACTAGAGCTACTGGTTTTGTCTGCCTTCTTCTTGCCATCCATCTCTCACGGATACTCTGTGACATTACTGTGGGCAATTATTCAAAAGCACTTGTTGGGGAGCAGGAGGTAGGGGGCAGTTGATTACTTTGGGAAGCAGTTCCTTCAGCTCCTGGCTCCTTAGTTGTTTGTCCTGCCAGTTTCTGCCGTATGGTAACACTGAGCCACACGTCCAGCCTCCCATAGGTCAGTTCCACCTACAGTTGTGGTAAAAAGTAATAGGTCGTCGGGAAAGTCATGACACATTTTTGCACAGAAAAACAGAAAAATATACCATGAGTTTCCTGATGACCTAATAGAAGAGTTCATTTGCATAAAGGATAGAAGGCTTTTAATTGGAAAAAAATTATTTTGTATAGCCTTGAAAATAATCAGTTAGCCAAGCCTTACAACTTTTTTTTAAATGGAAGCTAAACTTTTCTCATTTTACTTTCTATACTTAACTAAACATTCTGTGTAGTATTTTTATTTTTCATGTTTCTCAGCACAATTGGAAATCTTAAACCATAACTAAAAATTACAACATGATTTCTTCTATGACTGTAGCCAGTGATGTCAAACCTAATATCCTGTGATTTTATTAAAAGCTAATTAAATATCATGTTATGCATATTTTAGCATTTTATATAAATTGTCTAGTTTTTTGTTTTTGTTTTTGTTTTTTTTTTTTTTTTTGCTGATGCTTATGCTACTTCTATCTTTTCTTGTTTTGTACTCCTATGCATATGTTGTCCTGTGAAATTACTCCACTTGGGATGAATCTTGGGTTGGAATAATTTAAGAATTACTTAAAGAAAATCATCAAACACTCTGATAATCCTTGTTTTTCAACAAATTTTCAAAAGAGAAAATAGCTACCAATACCACCGCCAAGTCCAGGACTTGAACTATGCTGTCTGCCATGTGGATTTTGGCTGCCCTAACCACCAGGCTGTGGAATTGGCCTTATCACAGTAGAATAGTAACAGCAAAAAACTGAACAGCACAAGATATATTGCTTGGCATTAAGTTGGCACCCAACACATTTTTCCCTTGTGGAATACCTTGTGATATTGATCTATTGCAAATTGCATCAATGCTTAGATGTGCCATTTTTAAGCCTGTGGAGCATTGATGCCATACTATGAATTACAGTTTTAATTAGGGGATGTGTTTTAGGAAGAAATATTCAGTTTCACTGTTTTCATAAGAAATTTGACCCTGTTAATAAGTAGAAATTTGATGCTGCTACTCTTCTGTGCTGAGAGATACTCTGTAGTCCAGAGAGTGAATAACTTTTAATGAGGATTATGATAATTTACTGAAATTTACTAATTAAAATTCTAATATAGCAAGTTAATTAATGCTTTTTTTTTTTAATCAAGTGATCTTCCTGTTTGAAGCCTCAACTGGAAAACCATTAGGTGATGGGAAGCTCCTTTCTCATAAGGTAATGGACATTCACTCTTTCGCTTTAAAAAAAAATTTGCCAAAGGTCACATGTACTTATCAGGGAGACAGAGAGAGACAGAAAAGTGAGACAGCACCTACCATGGAAGATGTTTATGCTGAATCTTTTCTGCTCCCTTGTGGAATACCTTGTGATATTGATCTATTGCAAATTGCATCAATGCTTAGATGTGCCATTTTTAAGCCTGTGGAGCATTGATGCCATACTATGAATTACAGTTTTAATTAGGGGATGTGTTTTAGGAAGAAATATTCAGTTTCACTGTTTTCATAAGAAATTTGACCCTGTTAATAACTAGAAATTTGATGCTGCTACTCTTCTGTGCTGAGAGATACTCTGTAGTCCAGAGAGTGAATAACTTTTAATGAGGATTATGATAATTTACTGAAATTTACTAATTAAAATTCTAATATAGCAAGTTAATTAATGCTTTTTTTTTTTTAATCAAGTGATCTTCCTGTTTGAAGCCTCAACTGGAAAACCATTAGGTGATGGGAAGCTCCTTTCTCATAAGGTAATGGACATTCACTCTTTCGCTTTAAAAAAAAATTTGCCAAAGGTCACATGTACTTATCAGGGAGACAGAGAGAGACAGAAAAGTGAGACAGCACCTACCATGGAAGATGTTTATGCTGAATCTTTTCTGCTCCATTTCTCCCTCCGTTCAGGCTTTTGCGCACACACATACAACCTGTGTTTTTCAAGCCACTGGGTCTGGGACTCCAACCATATAGTCAGCCATGTGGGATCCAGCTGCCTTAACCACCAGGCCACATGCTGGCATAGACATTAGCTATTTCTAATATAAATAGCCACTATTTATTTGCTTTATTATTTATTTTTAAATTTTTTATTTATTAATTTTTTTTAGAGGTATGCTTTCTGGAGAGAGAGAGAGACTATGAGAGGAAAAGTGAGAAATCTCCCCTCCAGGAGTGATGGCCATGCTGCAATCCCTTCTCCTCCCAGGATCTTGGTCACGCACGCACACGTACTCAGCATGATTTTCAAGCCACCAGGTCCAGGACTTGAAACATGGTTGCCTATGTGGGAGTCCAGCAATACACTGCTATGCCATCTGCTGGCCCCATCTTTTTTCATTTTATTTTTAATTAATATTTTTGTTCATGGAGGAAAATTATTGTCACATGTATTCACATACGCTGTATCGTAAATAAAGAAAAAAATTATTTTTAAAAATTTGACCAGAGGAGTACTGGCAGGTGGCATGGTGGTTAAGGGCACTGGACTCCCACATGGCCTACTACAGTTCGAGTCCTGGATCCTCTCTCACACACACACACACACACACACACACACACACACACACACACTCTACCTCTCTGGTCAAAATAAAATAAATAAAGTTAAATAAAATAATTATTTTCTTTATTTGCTAATAATTGTACTATTAATAATTGTATCAGATATAACTTCCAATATATACCATTCAAACACATACTATTTTAAAAAAGATTTCTGCCATAGGTTGCATGCGCTTACCGTTGAGAGACAGACAGACAGACAGAGGGAAAGTAAGAAATCCCCCTCCAGGTGACCACAGTCCCTTCTCTATTCTCGTCTTGGGATTTTGGGCACACATACACCTCGCATGATACTCAAGCCGCTGGGGCTGGGATGCGAACTGCAGAGTTAACCACGTGGGATCCAGTGCTTTAACCACCACACCACCTGCTGGCCCACGCACACCATTTTTTTTTTTTCCTAATGTGCTTAAGTAATACACAGGAATATTTTGCTTGAGAGTTTCCAATTCTCTTTTAAATTAGCTTTTTCAGTTAATGACTGAGGCAAATATAGCACAAAAAACTGCCTAGCCCTTTTTTTTTTCAGTCACTTCTTATCCCTTCAAAATTCCCTTTGTAGCGTCTTAGGTAACGCTACATGCTGAAGGCCACTTTTTCCAAGCAGTGAGGGAGTTAACTCTCATTTTCCACTATACCAGCCTCTGCTGGCTCACTTGAATTTTTGTTTCCATCTTCTAACTTCTTTTTCTTCTTTGTCTTTCATCCTAGGTTAAGTTGAGCAATCTCTTCATTTTTCTGTGATGTATTTTAGCAGTGAATTACTTCTCCTGGCTAAGAGCTTCGCATCGTCAGTGTTAATTGTGCGTCTTCTTGTGTGTCTGTTAATAAGAGAATCGCTGCGCTCTTCCTTTGCCTCTGCCTCTTTCTCCCAAGGCGGGAATGCACGGGGCAGTAGGGCAGTGACATGGACTCTCAAATAATTCTTAAAAAACAAACAAACAAACAAAACCCAACTTGCCAGAAGGCATGTACACTCACCAGAAGTAGAGAGAAACAGAGAGGCTAGAGAGAGAAATGGCCGCAATCCCGTCTCCTCCATTTCTTCCTCCTTTGGGGGCTTTGAGCACACCCACACACGTCTAGTGTGTTTCTCAAGGTGCCAAGTTTAGGACTTGAACTAAAAAGGTGACCATATGGTTTCCAGCCAGCTTAACCACCACACCACCACCTAGCCTAAGAAAAAAACATTTTGTAAAGTCTTAAATTTTAAAATTTAAGACTCTGGAGCCATGAGATAGTTCCATATACCTCCATAATTTATTCTTACAAATCCTTAAAGTATAAATGTTAGGCGTTCTACTTAGAATAAATTTTGGTGTGAGGAATATATTAATCAAAAGAGACCTCTCATGTGATACTCAGACTTGCCTTACCCTTTCACTTTGTCCATTAAAGGTAGAAAGCAGGACATATGGGAGTGTATCTCAGTTTACAGAGTATCAAAATAGGCAATATTTTATTATATTTGAAAGGATATTTTTCCTTTGGATTTTGAGCAAAGTAACTACACTTAGTGTAGCTTTGAATTATTAGCGTATTGGCAATTTAACACTAATAGGGACGTTTTATCATTATAAGTAAGTGAATGACATTTAATTGATCTTTTAAAAAAGACATGCTCTAATAATTAAAATGATCTGGGGTCAGATGGTGGTGCAGTGGTAAAACATGATACCCTATGAGGCAACCCCACACAAGAAGGTTCCAGGTTTCAGTTTAGAGAACTCCTTGAATACACCAGCTACTCACTGGCTGAAGGCAGAGGGTTGGTCACAGCTGTAAGACCTCATGCAGGTATTGGTGCTGTCTGTCTGTCTCTCTCACTAATGGAAGAAGTAAATAAACCTTAAAATAAATAAATAAATAAATAATCTTAGGTTAAGCACTGAAATGAGTCTCATTTATATTTTGTAATAATTTTAGAATGAAATCTTGGAACTTGCTCTGGATCAAAAAGGACTTACCAATGACAGAAAAATTGCATTCATTGATAAAAACAGAGATCTCTATATCACCTCAGTGAAAAGGTTTGGGAAGGAAGAACAAATTATCAAACTTGGTAAAAATAATTTTAATATGCTTAAGTTTTTAATTATTGTCAATTTTCTTAAATCTACTCTGTCTGTCATATGTGAATTTGCTTGCCTGAATGAATCTGTGAAAATGTTTTGGTCTCATAATATTTCTTAGCTGCTTAACTCTATTTTAGTAGTAAGCTTTTAGTTAACATCGCCAAACTGGCATTAAAAGAAAGACCTGCACACTGAAAATGTAATGGTTCTAGGTAGAACCTTCAAATATGTCCATAAATTCTTACGTGAATTTTTCTGTGTTTTCATCATTATAAGCCAGAAAGAATCGTACTCTCCAGAAACTAGATGGGACCTTGTTTCTCAGCTGATTTTTAAAAATATATTTTAAAAAGTAATATATTACAATAATAACATGTGAACATTCTTTTTAAATTAAGGAACAATGGTGCATACTTTGGCATGGAGTGATACATGCAATATCCTTTGTGGACTTCAAGATACTCGATTTACTGTGTGGTATTACCCCAATACAGTTTATGTGGACAGAGACATTTTGCCTAAAACATTATATGAAAAGGATGCAAGGTAACATTTTACTGCATAGAAATCTGTATTGTGGTAAATAAAACTAATTAAGTGCCATGTTTTTGCCTTTCATTTCAGCCCTGCGAGGTGTCTTTCACTTTAATCAGATCTGACAAAATCAATTGTTTAGCCAAAACTAGCTTAATGAGATTTAAGTGATGGAATCAAGTTGAAAGTGTCTAATATGAGGCTTTTTTTTTCTTTTCTTTTAAAAATTTATTTATTTATTTGTTTATTTATTTATTTATTTGTCATTCACTGTATATCAACACAGTATGCAAAATGAGATTTTCCATAGTGTTCATTGTATATTGGCTCAATCAAGGATATAGCCATACATGTTATCATCAACAAATAATTTTCTATTTGTTTCTTATATATTTTGCTCCCGCCCCCCCAATTCCCTACCTGTCACCCTCTGCCAATCCCCCCCTTCTCCCACATGGTCTTTGGTATGTACAGTTGTTTTCCATGCCTTTTTTGAGCTTAGTGTTATTTAATGATAGCTTAGGTAGCTTTTCAATATGATTTAACATTTTTAATAAAGGTGCTGCTAAGATTTTTCAGTGAGACACAACTTTGTGATGGCTACTCTACTCTGTCACAGATTATTGATGGCTTTAAGACTTTTAGAAATGTATGTCTCTAGAATTGAGTTTTCTGGTTGATATTAATGGTAGGGGAAAATAAAACAAGGTAACTTAAAATTTTGTTGTTTAATTATATGCTTCAGAAAATCAAATGCATTTATATTGTTGAATTCTCTAAGAAAGAGCAAGGAGATCTTAGTCTCGATATAATAGGAATAAAAAGCCTTCTTGACTCTAAGCCTTAGCTTAGCTTTCAAATTTGTCTTGAGTTCATTTTTAGCATTCAAGTTCACAATCTTAGCAAAACCAAAGAGGCATCAAAATAAAACAGCTTATTTTAAAAATTATTTAAACTAATGAAAAAACATTAATCTCTTTATTTAGAGTTCACCTCTTTTTATCGTGAGAAAATAGTCTTGGAATTCAGCTTAGTTTTATTGGTTTATCCTTTAATACTTTTAAAAGCTAAAGCTAAGTGGTTTAATCATTTATGTGATTTATCTTGAGACTCAAGAAAAAAGGTCATTTCTAATGCTTTCAGGAATGGCTCTCAAGCCCATTAGAATTTTTGCCACTTTTAACTGTTTGCATATTTTGCTTCAAGTTTAAATAGCAAATTAGATTCAAATGGTACTTGAATATGTATATTCTCCCTGGAGTTTACTTTTGGACATTGGACACTCCATATTTATGTCGGAGGTCTACTCCTTAGATTTAAAATACATGGAAAATTTTTCTCAGAATATAACTTTAAATTGCACTTTTCTTTTCTTTTTTTTTTTTAATAGTGAATTTAGTAAAAACCCCCATATTGTGAGTTTTGTTGGAAATCAGGTGACTATAAGACGAGCCGATGGCTCCCTGGTTCACATCAGCATATCACCATATCCTGCTATTCTCCACGAGTACGTCAGCAGTTCAAAATGGGAAGATGCTGTAAGACTTTGTCGCTTCGTTAAGGTACATTTCAGACCCAGACTTGTCTGTATATTGTGTGCTATTTACTTCTGTGAGATGAGTAATAATAGCCAAGGGCTGGGCAAATCGTGACTAGGGTTGTACTGTATTTTATAAGTGAACACATGAGCAACACGGAGGGATAGATGTTGCCGTGTGACTTGTTCTGTGAAGAAGCTGAAAAGAAAAAGATGACCTTTCTTTTTTAGACCATTGCTATCTCCGTATTGGCTTATATCAAATTATTCTGTGGATCTTTTGTTTTTTTAGTAACCAGAGAGTGCATATACTCACGTTAAGAGGTAGGGACTGAAGGTAGGAAAAAGCACTCCCTGTTGGGGTGCGGTCCTGCTGCACTCCCCTGTCCACTCCTCCATCCTGTCAGTATTTTAGACATGCATACATGCACCCAGAGTGTTTTTCAAGCCACTAGGGGCGGAATTCAAGTTGCAGTCAGTCGTACAGTATCTGACTCTTAACCACTAGACCAAAAGGTCAGCCCATCTGTGGAACTTTTTCTGAAAGTTATGTTACCAAGTTTTATCCCCTAATGCATGGATCTCGGCCTGGGCATATTTTTAAGTTCCTCAGATGATTTTTTTGGTATGACTAAGGTTAAGAATCTTTGCTTTACATCAGCTTTTCCCAACCTGATTGAATCTAGTATTTTCTAAATGTGTTTGACCATAGATTGACCATAGATCTCATCTCTTTTATTGATCATTAACATCTCTTAGAATACACTTTTGTGAAATAACTTTCAGATGCTTTTGTTTAATCTGGACTTCTGGCGTAATACTATTATCTGAGAAATTGTCTATCCTTCTGGTTCTCTGTAAATTATAAACCTTGAGTTATGTTAAATGGTATCAAATACCACATTATGATGTGTAGCAAAAAGGAATGCTACACATCAGAATGTGGTATTTATTGAAAACAATGAGTATTTTATCCATGATTTGATTATCCATATGGCATGTATGCTTTGAAGATCCATATGCTACCCCACATAGATATACAACAGTGTAAGTAAATTATAAAATAAAAAAATGTTTAAATAGAAAAATAAATTCTTGATACCTAGACATGAAAATTTTATTTATCTAAAAGAAGTTCTCTATGGGGACCAGCAGTTGGTGTTTGGCTATGTCACTGGACTCCCATGTAGTCGACCATGGTTCGAGTCCCGGACTCGGTGGCTTGAACTCACGCTACATGCGTGTGAGTACATGCCCAAGATCCCGAGAGGAGAATGGAGGAGAACGGATTGCGGCGTGGCCATCCCCCCAGGGGGTGATTTCTCGCTTTCTGTCTCTCTGTCTCTCTCTGTTTTTCTGGCGAGTGCACACACCCTATAGCATAAACTTCTCCCAACAAAAAAAAAAAGAAAAAAAAAAAGAAGTTCTCTATGTAGTGTTTTTTAGAAATTTTGCTGTAGTGTGCATGCACTTGCTGAAGAGGCAGAGACAGAGTCAGAAAGTGAGAGATCACCCTCCCCTCCAGGGGGGATGGCCATGCTGCAAACCCTTCTTCTCCATTCTCCTCTTGGAATTTTAGCCACTCACACACACGTGCCTGGCATGAGTTTTAAGCCACCGGATTGAGGGCTCGAATTGGGGTCAGCTATGTGAGAGTCTAGCAACTTAACTATTATGTCATCTGCTGGTCCCAGAACTTACTTACCTATGTAGTATTAATATGTCTTAACCAATTGACCATAGTGAAATTTCTACCTCATTCATTTATTAGATTACTGTTTTTTCAGTGCCATGCTCAGTAATTTTTTAAAATTGAAATATAATTATGATGATATTTAAATCGCTGTTGATTTTAAGGCAGTTGAACTTTGTAGTTGAGATCGTTGTTCTCATATTTTGCTTTAGGAGCAGACCATGTGGGCTTGCCTGGCTGCGATGGCAGTCGCTAATCGAGATATGACTACTGCAGAAATTGCCTACGCAGCAATTGGCGAAGTAAGTAAACCATGCTTAGATTTCTGCACATGTGTATGTTTTTCTTGCATTTGTTATATTTCTGTTACTAGCCACTTCAGCTATTTCTTTTCTTTTTAGATCGATAAGGTTCAATACATCAGTTCGATAAAAGATCTTCCATCTAAAGAATCAAAAATGGCCCATATACTAATGTTTAGTGGGAACATCCAGGAGGCTGAAATAGTACTTCTTCAGGCTGGCCTTGTTTATCAGGCAATTCAGATCAATATTAATCTCTACAATTGGGAAAGGTAATAAAAATGCTTTTCATCAATTTCAAAACCTGATTGACTTTCATATATTCTTCCAGCTACCATTTAGTAAATTACATTTTCCACTGTACTTAATAGTTTCCTAACATCACAGTACACCTTATTCACATTTATATTTATAAGGTTGCAACTAAGATACATTTTATTTTTGTAATTATAGATATTTTAAGTTTGCAATTAAAAACTGACTTAAGTTAATTTGTTATGAAACTGGTCTAATTTTCTAGGTTAAAATGTCTCTCAGGGTCTTTGTTTCTTCCTGGGCTTGAAAACAACCCATGTATATTTCAATTACAAGTCCCTTTACTTATAACTGCTTTAGATTCGAATTTGTATGGGATTCATATCTATCTTTTCCTCCTATTCAGAAGGAACAGAAATGGCAGATTGTTCATTTCGTGACTGACATACGACATCTCTTTATTTAACTTATGCCCTCATGAACTATACTATTCAAATCATTCAGTCGCTCTGTTTCTGTGCTTTATGTACACAAACTCATTGTCATTGTTGAGCTCTACAAAGGATCATGAAGGATGTTTTTTGTTCTACAAAGATAAATAGGCTGTTGTCCTTTTTCTTAGTTTATTCATAATTCATAAAGCATAAGGTAACTAGTTTGGAAAGAGATAAAATATGAAAAATAGTTTTAGGAATCTCTGTTAAATAACAATTGGAAATTGTATCCATTAGAAGCAAACACTTCTTTGAGAAATAGGGAAGAATGTTTATTTTCTCTCAATAAGTGTTTTTAAGAAAATATTGACATTGATTAATGGTAAACACTATTATTCCTGTATAATATAAAACAGTTTTTTTTCAATATTTTTTTTATCTTAAAAAGCATATAACCTAATTAGGAATTCCAGTTTATTGTCGTTCATAATAGTAAAGTCTCTTGGGGCCAGCCGGCAGCTTGCAGGTTGAGGTGCTATGCTTCCACATGTCCGACCACAGCTCAAGTTACATACTTGGCAGTTTGAAAATCATGCTGGGTGCACGTGCATCCATGCCCAAAGTCCCAAGAGGACAATTGAGAAGGGATTGTGGTGTGACCATCCTCTTGAGGGAGTGATTTTTTACTCTCCCTCTCTCTGTTTCTGTCTCTTTCCAGTGAGCATATGCACCCTATAGCAAAAACTTATAAATATATATGTATATATATATATGGATTTATTCCAGCCCAAGAATCTAATGTCACATTTGTTCGGTTGCCAAAACCATTTTAAACTAGAGACATACCGTTCCCAAACTCTTATGTAATTTGGAGTAAATTCTTTCCTAAATGTGGTTAAAAAAGAAAAGATTTTTTACCCAGTCTGCATTTAAAATGGCACGTGTCATTTGAGTGTTGTTTACCTTCAGCCATTGCTTTTCAATCAGCTAAGTCACATTATATTGTGATAGTGATGATGATGACAGATAGTAATTAGGATCTCATGAGTCAATACAGTTGTAAGGAAAGAATGGGAAATGGAGCTTCTGAGGTGCCAAAAGGGTTTGCCAGCATTAACACGCGCGCACCACCACAGTCAGAGCCTTAGGGATAGCAAGGGAACTTTACGGGAGAGGGCAAGAAGGGAGGCAGCTTTACTTCCATTTCTCTTTTTTTGCGCCTCCTTAAATTGTTTCCTGCCCTAGTGCCTTTACATTCCCTTTGGCCTATCTTCTTTTTCTCTGAAAGAATTAGTCACAGAGGAATACAGGGACCTGTGAGAGAGTGTGATGGGCAGCAAATACCCTTGGATTTAGCTGGACAGTGTATATCAGTATATTTTTATATAAAATTATTTCACTTGGCATTATCATTTGTATTCATGACTTATTTTCATAATTTTTTTATAGTGTATCTTTAATGTCTCTCTCAATCATTTATTATCAGTCAATGCACACAACATATCAAATTTTTAAAGGTTTATTTGTTTATTTCTTTCAAGAGAGACAGATACACACACAGAAAAGCACCCCCCTACACACAGGGTCTTCATTCAACAATCCACCCCCATCCTCAGCCAGCCCAGATCAGAGGTGCACACGTACTCTCAGTGCACTTGGGGAGATCTTGGGCTGCAAATCCAGAACCTTTCCTGTATGGGTCCAGTTGCATTAGTGAGTGCTACACCACTGCCTGGCCCCTAAAACACTTTTTAAAGTGACTGTTTAGTTTGATAATTAGTAAGGTAAACCAAGATTTTCTACTGAAGGGTTGTGAGTTGCAAAAAAAAAATCTAGTCAGTAGTCAGTTTTGTCTTAAAAAACAATAGTAATAGTTGACTCTGATGAATCATGACTGGACTGTCCAAAAGTCATGTATCATTTAAGAAAGCAATAGAGAACTTGTGTTATCATGTACTTGTTTGTTTGCCTTTTTAATTTGCCACAAGGGGGGCCAGCAGGTGGCGTGGTGGTTAAGGGCGCTGGATTCCCACATGGCTTGCTTTCTCACTTTCCCTCTCTCTCTCATTCCATCCCTCTCTGGTCAAATTAAAAAAATAAATAAATAAGTAAAATTAAGTTAAATAAAATAAAAATAGTTTAAAAAAATTTGCTACAAGGGTGTGTGCACTCATCAGAGAAGGAAAATGAGAACACTCCTGCCCCCTGGGGGTGGGCAGATGCTCATGCTGCAACCCTTCCGCCTTCATTTCTCTTTTCGGGATTTTGGGCACACACACATGAACCTGGCATGTTTTTCAAGCTGTCAGGCTGGAACTCAAACTGCATAGTTGGCCACATGGGCTCCAGCTGCCTTAACCACACCACCAGCTGGCCCAATGTACGTTCAATTATTCTGATGACTATTATCCATGCTTTAAGCTAGATGACAGTAAACAGTGTAGAAGAGCTGACTCAACAAATGCGAGTTACGCACAGGGTTTCCGCGGCTGAGGCTTTGTCCCAAAGTCTATGTGTGGAAGCATGCCTGGAACCAAAGCCTTACCTTTTTATTTACCTACAAATTATCACCAGTGTGTAGATTTTGTGTTTTTGGTGTTATACCACTGTTCTCAGTGATTGATTTAGTCCTCATCTGCTATCAGAATAAAAGATCACCTTAAAAATAATTTTGTTGCATAGATAGACATTGAATTTTAAAATTTACGTGACTATTAACTTTTCCTAGGACTCAAATGGTAAAGGCATTTTGTCAGACTTCTCTTAACCTCAGTTCCTTTTCATAAGATTTTTAATTTGCTATAGTAGTAATGTAAGGATATGAGTTTTTAATTCTATAAATTCATTATAGACATAAAATTTCAATAAGGCAGTTGAACTACTTAATATTATAGGGAAATTTCAAATTTGAATTTGAATTTTACGATGACTTTAAACAATGTTTTCAATGAATACTCACCACATATGCATTCTATAGTACTCATTGAAGAGAAATGAAACCCAGATCTCTTTTCAACAAGTGTATGGGCTAGTGGAAAAAATATACTCATAGTCACTCTCATACATTATGAACAGTGTTGTAATACAGTACATATAAACAGTATGGACATAAATAAGATAATGGCCATTTATTATTACAAGGGGACCTGGCTAAGGAGAAGTGATCTTGTTTGATCTGAGCCTTGAAGCAAAACTAGGAATTTGCAAGATGAATAAATAGAAAACGATATTCCATATCGTGGGAGCAGTAAGGAGAACAACCTTGTGTCCTACCTACCAACTCTGAAACTCTGCTGTTCATAAGCACTGCTGCTAACCCATTTTGTTTCTCACTATAGGGCACTGGAATTGGCTGTAAAATACAAAACACATGTTGATACAGTTCTTGCCTACCGTCAAAAGTTTTTGGAGACATTTGGTAAACAGGAAACTAATAAACGATACTTGCAGTATGCAGACGGTGTAAGTATTATACAGAATTTTATAATAATGTATTTGCTTTATAGATATATATAATATTTATCTTAACAAGAAAAAAATGGAGTGATCTGTCCCATAAGCTCCAAAAGAATTATTTTTTGCCTTATGATGTTATGGTCTTATTTTGACTATGTGATTACAGTACTGCATATTTTTCTGGAACTTCACAGCCGTTTTTTGATGGACTCAGATCTGCTTTTCATAATGCACAATTGGTATTAAGGTTGCGTGCCATTTGATATTTTTAGATAAGTAATAGTGATAGCCAGGATAAAAGCTTCTAAAATTCTTACGAATTTTGTCTTTCACCAGCTGCCCCTTCTGCTCCAGGGGAAATAAATAAGCACAGAAGGTATTGACTAGAAGTATGTACTGTGTCACTTTGTCGGTCCTTGGGAACTGGACTGCACTTCATGGAAGTGCCTTGCCCAGGGAAACTTCAGTTTAGAACCAAAAAAGACTCAACCTTTGACCCTCAAACTCCTACAAGAATCTCAAATTTTATCACTCCAATTGGAAGAAAATCATTTTGGGCTAGCTGGTGGTGTGGTGAAGACAGCTGGATCCCACATGGTCAACTATGTGGTTCAAATCCTGGACATAGCAGCTTGGAAAACATGCTGGTCTTGTGGTGTGTGTGTGTGTGTGTGTTCACACATGCATGTGCCCAAAATTCTGAGAGAGAATGGAGGAGAAGGGATTGCAGCATGGCCATCCACCCTAAGGGGTTACTTCTCCCTCTGGCAAGTGCATGCACCCTATAGCAAACTAAAAACAAATAAAAAAAGAAGTCTTTTTAGTACATATCAGCCTATCAAGAGAACCGGAATAGGAGAGTTTGCTTCAATGTCTAGAGCATAACTGATTGTGGCCACTTACCCAGATTCTTCTGGGCTCAGACAGTAGAAATAGAGTAACAGAGTTCCTTTGTCAGGCCATGTAGATCTAAGAGGCTGACTCCTAAGAATTGTGATTTGCAGACTGGGCTGACCTTGCTTCAAGCTCTGAACCAGTTTTCTTAGCCTTTTATTCAAAAAATGTTAATGAGATCTTGTTCTGGTCTAGGCATTATGTTAGATATTGAATCAGATCAGTCTCTTTGTGGAGCTTATAGATTATGTGGAAAAACTCGGTAGGATAGAATAAAATGGAAATATTTGCAATCATCCTAGGGATAGGTAGAGTGGGTTAGAGGAACCTTAGGAAAATGAGATGAGGTGCAATGTCTGCTAAAGCCAATATTTTCCAATGATCATATTTTGAATACAAAATGTCGTGGTCTACATTTTGGGACTTCAGTTTTCAGAGTAGTAAAGCTTTTGAGGCCACTCTTAAGAGTCTAGCAATGCACCTTCAATGTCTGAAGCTAGGATAGCTATAAGTTATAGGTTTCACAGTAGAAAGGGAGCAAATATTGAGGCTGGTGGGTGGCGCAGTGGTTGAGGTGCTGGACTCCCACATGGTTGACTATGGTTCAAGTCCTGGACCTGGCAGCTTGCTTTCTCACTTTGCCTTTTTCTCTTTCTGTCTCTCTCTGATCAAATTAAAAGTAATAATAATAACAATAGCAAATAAAATTAAAATAAATGTAAAAAAAGAAAGGGGGATAATATTATAAAAGCTTCAAATTCTTTTGTATTCATTTGGAACTTGGTTAATACTACAGTAAATCCTAAGAGTTTAGGCTATGAGGCTCGCTCTACTATAAAGGCAGATTTCAGGTCCCTGGGATCTCTAAGGCTACAACCTCGTTCATAGACTGTGAAAGCAGTCACCACCGGGATAGTGCTAAGCAGCCCAGAGAATCACCAGATCCTTCGATCTGTCTGTCACAGCTTTTGAAATATGGCCACTTGTTAAAACGGAGAACCCATCTTAAATATATTTTATCAAATACATTTTTTAAAGTTTATTTATTTCTTCTATGAGTAAGAAAGACAGAGAAAAAGACACAACCCCCATAACAGGATCCTAGCACCTTGATCATCCCTGTCTTTAGCCAGTTTGATAATGTGCACGCTCATCCCTGGTGTATGCAGGGAAGTCTTGGGACGTGAAGGGGAACCTTCCCATGTGGGATTGCCTCACAAGACCACAGCGTTTTACCGCTGTTTCACCATCTGGCCCCTTCATTGGAAGCACATTAATGCTACTCTGCTTCTCTTCATCATCATTAATATTTTTCTATTTTTAGGTACTTTTGAAAACATGGTAAATATAGTCCTTACTCTAAAGAAAATATTTTTGATGGCAAAGACTTAACATTTTTACCTTCTCCCTTTTCATTATGTCTGTATTCAATTGTAATCAAAATGTAATATCTCAGTCATAAGAGTAGTAGAAATTTCCAAAGCAAGATAACCAGAACATAATGTCTTTCTTAGATACTCTCTTTTCATCAGAAACTATATAAGTTACTGTGATTCCCTATGGCGCTATGTTCTGACTTCCTACTTTTCTTCTTAAGTGTCTTTGATAAGTTAACTAAAAATCATAAAGCAGGGCCAGTGGATGGCATCGTGGTTAGGGCACTGAACTCTCTCATGGCCAACTGCGATTTGAGTCCTGGACCTGACAACTTGCTTTCTCAATGTCTCTCGGCCTCTCTCTCTCTCTCTCTGGTGAGCACATGTGTCCTATAGCAAATTAAAAAATAATAAGTAAAATAAATAATTCTAAAAAAAAGTACTGTTTTAAGATGAAAATTATTTTTATTATTATTTTTTTACTTAACAGAAAAGCTTATTATGAAAATGTACATGATCTGAATTTTATATCATAGTAAAACAGGCCTGTTGACGAGAGGACATGGGTTTTTCTGTCGAACAGCCATTATTTATACTCGTTCCAAGGCTTCCAACCTGATGATACTATTTCCTCGTCTTACCACCATTCCAGTGTTGTTCTGTGGCCCACGAGTTGCCATCTCCACACATTCACCTATCACAGATTCATAAATGGATCAAATCCCCGCAGTGTTCCTTGGACATGTCTGCCACCATTTAATTTCAATGGTAACTTCTTGTCCATAAATTTTTTTAATTCGGGAGGGTGAACTTTGCTCATGGTACCAACCCAGCGGGCTCAGAGATGCCTTTGTATGGAATTCTCCAATATGAAAATTATTTTTACTTCAAAGTTTCCTACCAGTAAAATAAAATTTAACTCTAGGAAAATAGCTTTGGGGGATATCTGCACTACTTACCAATCTTTTTGACTCAGGTCTATAATCTAATCATACTATTATCCATAATTTAGTCATACTTATCTTACTTTGCCAAAATCATGATTATATAAACATTTTATTTCAGATCTAAGAATTGAGTAAAAGAGATCACTTAAAAATAACATTGAGAAATTTATTGTAGATAGCCAATGTAGAATTTCAGAAAGTCTATAATTTTGAGAAAGATTAAGGGGTCTACAGTATAGTTAAGACAAACCACTTCAGGCACAACTACTACTACCTAAGCTGGCTTATAGGTTTGAAAGCCTTCTAATAGTGAGGGGTTGTTAGTTGAAAACTCATTTGCGTGACAGTTATTTGCCTATGATTTCTTATCTATTGAGTCTTTCCTGTGTATAATGTCTCTGCTTGATGCTTGGAGTATAACAGTAAATGTGACAGACATTGGCCCTGGCCTCATGAAGTTTATATTTAAATGGAGGTGGCAGTTAGTGTATAGTTAGATGTTAATATTAACTGTGATAATGCCTTTAAGGAGGTGTACTTGATACTATAAGACTTCATAAATGAAGAACCTGACCCAGGTTGGGAAATAGCAGAGACTTTTCCAAGCAATGCTAATGGTATTTGAGATGAGCTCTATGGGATGAATAGTCAAAGCTGACAGGGGCCGGGGACCACATGCGGTTGGACATGTTCTAGCTGAGAGAAGGCTCTGATTTAAGAGTGAAAGCAACAGGGAGATTGAATGGAGGTCTCGTAGGACAAATTAAATCATAGGAAGTGATTGACGGTAAGCAACATGGTTGGTTACGTTTCCCTCTTAAAGCCCGGATTCCCTTTGAGTTACTTCTCATTATGGTTTCTCCCACATGGTGTGCACTACTCACATTAGTAAACTTTCTTGTCTTTGGTCATTTGTTTTGTTTTTCTGCCTTTTTCGTTAATCTGCCTTTTGTTACAGGGTTCAGTCCAAACTATGAACTGAAGAAGGTTGAAGAGAATTTTTATCTACCCCCTGACATTGTCTAGGGGAATATTATAGAGGGGGGAAAAGAGAGAGTAGGAGGGAGAGAGAGTGAGCTAGACAAAGAGAAAGAAGGAAGGAAACTGAGAAAGGAGAGCAGAGACCAGGGGGTGGTATTATACAATCTAATAGGAGAGCTTTTCAGAGAACGGTGGTCAGCAAGGTTCAGAGAATGCTCTTATCTCAGGACCTGTTTGTCCCTTTATCGGCATGCCTTTCCCCGGTTTCCTACATGGGGTTACTTAACTCATCTTCTTTAGGTCTTGTTGTCACCTTTTCAGAAACATCAGTTTTGAGATCACTCTGTCAACCAGAAACCAAGTAAACTGATGACAACACAACCTCCCATTCTGCTGCTGGCACCCCACTGTCTCCTCCCTATTCACAAGCCTTACCATTTCTGACACACTGTATATGTTTTGGTTTAGTATGTGTCACTATTACCTTTTTAAATTATATCTATGAAAACAGTGATTTTTATCTTTTTGTTCATGGCGAAATCCTTGTTCCTCAAATAATCTTTGGCATATAACTAAGCACTAAATATCTGTTGAATATAGCAGGAACACAGTCATATTATAGTGGTTTGAGGAGAATGAAAAGAACGAGGGTGGCAGTTTGCAGGGAGATGGAAAAGAGAGGGGGAACAATGAGAAGGGACCTGTGACGAGAAGGAAATTGAACAAATGAGTAATAATGAAGACAGAAAATAAAAAAGATTTTTATAGATATAGTTAAGTTTATGAGTACAAGGAAGGAAAATTAAGTGAATTTATAGGTATCACTATATTTTCCTTAAGTGGGAAGCTGATTTTTAGTTGAGAATAAAAGAGATGAAATAAAGAACCATTTGGGGGACCAGCAGCTGGTGTAATGGCTATGTCTCTGGACTCCCACGTAGTTGACCGCTGTTCGAGTCCCGGACCCAGTGGCTTAAACTCACGCTGGGCACGTGTGCATGCATGCCTAAGATCCCGAGAGGAGAATGGAGGAGAAGGGATTGTGGTGTGACCATCCCCCTTGGGGAGTGATTTCTCGCTTTCTATCTCTGTCTGTCTCTGTCTGTCTGGCAAGCGCACATGCCCTATAGCGAATAAAAGAGATGAAATAAAGAACCATTTGGGGGACCAGCAGCTGGTGTAATGGCTATGTCTCTGGACTCCCACGTAGTTGACCGCTGTTCGAGTCCCGGACCCAGTGGCTTAAACTCACGCTGGGCACGTGTGCATGCATGCCTAAGATCCCGAGAGGAGAATGGAGGAGAAGGGATTGTGGTGTGACCATCCCCCTTGGGGAGTGATTTCTCGCTTTCTATCTCTGTCCTGTCCTGTCTGTCTGGCAAGCGCACATGCCCTATAGCGAAAACCTCTCAAAAAAAAAAAAAAAAAGAGAGAGAGAGAGAGAGGAAAAAAAGGACCATTTGGTATGGTTTTGGAATTGCTTCTGTGTGAATAAAGATTGACTGGGGACTAGGGTAAGAAGTGCCAAATTGTACTGATGCTCCCTGTAATAGAAGATGGGTTTAGTGTAGAAGTCACTTACAGCTATTAGAGAACATCTTTGTCTAAAACCTACTATTAAAAACATTTTTTTAATGCAAGGACAAAATGATCAGTAGAAAGCTGTTCTGAAACTGGATAAATGCCCAAGGAAAAGTGAAACATTTATTTTCAGTAAGAGAGCTATCAACTGACAGACACCTCATTTGTATTGTAAGTAACTGGTACAGATGTCATCAGTTTACCTCTGGTACAACAGAGCAACCGTGCTCAGTGTACCATCAATATATGATTTATTGTGATTGATCTGAGAAGCATATGCCAGTCAACTTAAGGTTGGAAGAAGGCCAAGGCATTCATCAAATTTTGTCTTCCTCTTTGTAACTGTGTTGCTAGACATGGGAATGAGGGGGTTTTAGAATAGTTTTTGTTTGTTTGTTTGTTTTTTATTTATTTATTTTTTTAAAGAATTATTTGACTTTGTTTATTTTGACCAGAGAGAGATAGAGCAAGGGTGGGAGGTACTGAGAAAGCAAGCTGCTAGGTCTGGGACTCGAACCACGGTTGGCCACATGGGATCCCAGCGCTCCCAGCCACCACATCTCCTGTTGGCCCCTTTTTTTTTTAGTTTTTTAAGTTTTTGCTATACAGTGTAGAGAAAGACAAAGAAAGATAGAGGAAAAGTGATAAATCACCCCCAGGAGAGATGATCAAACCACAAATCCCTTCTCCTCCATTCTCCTATTAGGATTTTGGACATGCATGCACACATGCCTGATATGTTTTTTTTTAAGCCTCTGGGTCTGGGACTTGAACAGTGCAGTACACCATGTGGGATCCACTTGCCTTAACCTCTGTACCACCTACTGGCCCAGAAATTTTGAAAACTGAGTTTTAGCCAGATTGAAAAATATTTTTCAAATAATACAACATTTCCTCTGCTTCTCAATGAACTCTCACTTGCATCTTAACAAAGACATTTATCTTCTATGAGTAAGAGGAATTCTGTTAAGTCATAAGGATGTGGAATGACTTTTTTAAGTGGCCAAAAATATCTGCAGATTATTAGGCTATCAGAAAAGTCATGACATTTTTAAAAATGTTTTTCTATGCAAAAATACGTCATGACTTTCCAGACAACCCAATACTTTACAAAAATTTAGATACAGGATATTGGAATTAAAAAAACAAATACTTAATGCCATCAATGTCTAGCACAAAATAAAAGATATATGAGTCCTATTAAGGTTAATCTTTCGGTTACGGAAAAATCGTGACACATTTTTCTATGTTTTTCTATGCAAAAATACGTCATGACTTTCCAGACAACCCAATACTTTACAAAAATTTAGATACAGGATATTGGAATTAAAAAAACAAATACTTAATGCCATCAATGTCTAGCACAAAATAAAAGATATATGAGTCCTATTAAGGTTAATCTTTCGGTTACTTAAGATAAATGTGTTAAAGCAACATGTCATATCTCAGTCTGGGTTAATTCTGCCTATTCTACTCAACTCCCCTTTATGGAAGTGGAAGCTTGCTCATTTCTGGCTCTGTCTCAGAGTTTGGGTTTATTCCTAGTAAATCAGAGTTAGCTTAGTCTAGGACACAGTTTTCCCCATGTCTTACCTCAGAGAGGACATATATCTAAACTGTTAAATGATAGAATGTGTCTTCCAAAGAAATTGCTCATAGAACTCAGGGCAGAGTCCACGCCTTCTATCAAGTGTAATGAACTTAGCAGACTAGTGGGGCGGGGGTAGGGCTAGGAGAGGGGAGACTGCATCTTGCATGGGTGGAAGCAATAAAGAAATGTTATCACTTTTCAGTCATTCTTTCTGTGTGTCTCCCAGTCTTGCTTTCCCTCTGCTTCCTCTAATATCTCTCATGATTGTCTTAACCATCACCATGTTTTATATCACCTTAAGAATTGTTGCAAAAGAGCAATTTTTGCAGAATATTCTCAGGGACAGCTAATGTCACTCTGTCTTTCCTCATGGCTGGGCTTCTAAAGAGAACTTCAACATCTGTGCTGTGAAGAGCTGGCCTGTCTGAAACAGCTGAGTGGCTGGGACCCTTTCCAGCTTTTCTCCTATTGGAGAAAAGCAGTCTTCCTCGCTTTACCACTGAGCACCTGTGCAGATCCTAAGATTCCTAGAGACTGTTTGAGTGCACCTTTTATAGATTCGTACAACTGGATTTGGGTGTGTCAAATCACAAAGAGTCTTTGCTTTTTATTATGTAGCTGTTCAGTTTGATCCTATTCTTAAAGCCACATCATGGTTTTTGTGCATTATTCCTCCTTAGGAGCTTTTCTTTGATACTTCCCTTTTCTCTAGTGCTTTGGAAGCTATACATTCTATTTATACTTACTCTTGGTTACTTTGGACTAAACAAAAATGTCTTAGACTTTATAAGCATGTTTCATCTTGTTTCTTCTATTGCAGCTCCATATAGACTGGGAGAAAATTAAAGCCAAAATTGAAATGGAAATTACCAAAGAAAAAGAGCGGTCATCAAGCAGCCAGTCCAGCAAGAGTCTGGGTCTAAAGCACTGAACTCCAGGCCTACCTTTAAGTTTTATCCTTTGAAACTAATTCTGACTGAGCAAGGGTAAGCATGTTTTGGTTGCTAAAGAAGCAGGCATAATTTTTAAGTAATTATAAGCACTTATGGTGTATTTAATACTGAAAGTACATTCAGAAAGATTAAGCAAAAAAAAATGACATGACTCCATCTTTTATATTTTCCTAGTCCAGTAATTAGCAAAATCTTTTCAAATACTTAGGATACACATGTTAGGTGTCAGTTGCATTCCAGGTTTTTGTTTTTTATTACTGAATCTTCGGCATGAACAAATATTAATGCTGATAATAAAACATTGCACTCTTTCAAAGGTATGTTATTGCTAATTTCTATTTGATCTCTAAATTGTAAAGTGCCTCCAAGAGTTTATTTATACAAGGTAAAAACAGGATGGATTTGTGAAAATGTGTAAGAATGCAGATCCACATGCATCAGAGGTCATAGAAACATTATTCAATTAATAAAAGGTGAAAACAACTCAAATGTCTATTGAAAAGTGAATGTTATGTATACATAAAATAGAATATTATCAGCCTTAAAAGGAATGAAATTCTGATCCATGCACAGTGTGAATGAAAGCATCCTTAGTGAAATAAGCCAAATATGAAAGGGCAAATATTATACACAGGATCTTTGCAAAGTCTATAGAAAATATTTAGGAAAGCACTATGCATGGCTTTTTTTAAGGTTAGGTTTTTTTTTTTTGCATAATCCATCTAGTAAGGTGGAACTTCTCATGTTTAATTTATGCAGTGAGTTATAATTTTTGAGGAAGCATATTCAAAATGTTTTAGTCTCTTTTTTTGCCCTAAGTATTTGCATTAGCTTAAATTCTTTTATGGATTGCACAACTAATTATAAAATTAAATAAGTAATCTGCATGTGAATATTATATATGATTTGAGACTTGATTCCATGTTATTGACTTAGAGATTATTAAACTGGGTAACTTTTTGTATCTCATTATTAAACACAGAAGAGAAAGTAAATTTTTTACTGTCATTCCAAAGCTTCTGTGAAACTGGGCTCCAAATCTAACATCTGTCAGAGAATTAGTAGTAAGCGTGATCTGTTCCTTTCGGGGGTAAAAAAGGATGAGTAAGTTCTGGAAATGGATAGTAGTGATGGTTGTACAATATTGTGAATATTAATGCCACTGTATAGTACCCTTAAAAATGGCTAAAATGGTACATTTGGTTGTGTATATTTTATCATAATTTAAAAAGTATATCTAGAATGAACAAGAAATGTTTTCCTCATTCCTCTCCTGACTTGAGAATGTTCAGGCAACAGGTGCTGGAGTCTGAATCTGTGAAGATCCTCTTAGATGATAAACGTTTGTGACTAACCTTAATTCCATATGTCCAAAAATTATTATTACTATAAGAGCTTTTTAACAATAACACAGATGCCACCTAGGAAGTTTTCCATAAACCCATTTTTAGAGATGGTACTTTATAGAACTAGGTATATGCATATATGTGGGAAAGAGATTACTTCTCTCACCCCATTTTAATTATTATAGCTGAGTTTCTTTTACAGAAATGTTCTTTTCAACATGTTCCTTTTCTTTTCTGGAATGTTGGAATGTTCTCTTCTTGGTACAGATGCTGGGTACAAAGGTGTGTTTGGTTTGTGAAATCTGGTGGAGCAGTGTACTTACTAGTTGTATTTATAAATTTTTAATGTTTCCTACATTGTTATATTTCAAAGAAAAGTTTCAAAAGAAAACATGGTTAAAAGTATGCATTTTATGTTATGTTTATTTTACCACAATAAAAAAATGAAATGTCTATGTTCTAAAAATTCTCTGATAGCCCACAATTCCATTCAGTTCGAACACTACCTGGAGTTAGCATCAGATTCCACAAACTAAAGGGTAAGATCCCCAATTAGATTACCTTCACCTCAGTTGCCAACTGCAAGTGGGATCCCCCAGGCTACCCACACTTGTGTCTGACTTGGCTACATATTTGGGGGTGAGGGTTCCCACAACCTCCCTTCAGGTTTGAAAATTCACTGGAACGAGTCACAGACCTCACTAAAAAGCTTTATTGATTCCAATTACAGTTTTATTAAAAGGATATAATGCAGAAACACCTACATGGAAGAGACGCAGAGGGCAAGGTCTGGGAGAATGGAAGGGTGTTTTAGGGGGACGTGGAGGTGACACAGATTTTCTATGGACTTTCCTCATGGAATCCAGGCATAGCATCTTCCCAGCACATCAGTGTTCACCAACTAGGAAACTCCCCCAGCCTTGCTGTCCTGAGGTTCGATTTTTGTTTGTTTAATTTTGCCAGAGGGTGGGTATGCTCACTGGAGAGAGAGAAAAAAAAAGAGAGAGAGAGAGGGGAAGTGAGAAAGCACCTCTCCCCCATGGGAATAGTCACAACACAATCTCTGCTCCTCCATTTCTCCACCCCTTCAGGATTTGGGGCACACATGCACACTTGCCCAGCATGTTTCTCAAGCCACCAGGTCCAGGACTCAGACCATGTGGTTGGCCATGTAGGATCCATCTACGTGAACCACCATGCCACAGCTGTTTGTTTTTGTTTAAATCAGGATTTCATTACATAGATGTAGGGGTGAAAAAAGATCCATTATCTTTTCTCATCCCTCATTAAGGGTTATGGCCAGCACTCCTGTAATGAAAGACATATTAACAAGAGAAAAGCATAACATTTATTTAATCCAAGTTGCATGTGACATGGGAGCCCACATGGATCTGGTTGCCTTAACTAGGAAGCCAGAGTAGGCCCATGGCTGTCTATTCCTAATTGAACCTAAGCATAAAAATGATCATTTTCCTGTATCTTTCATTCTGAAGGCTTCCGTGTCACATACAACTTGGATTAAATAAATGTTATGCTTTTCTCTTACTAATATGTCTTTTGTTACAGGAAATCCCAAGGATTTTGGAAGATCTGTGCTAGAACCTTCCCTTTCCCACTCAGTAGCCCCCCAGACCAGATATGTTCTTTGTGTATACATGCCACTCCCAGTCTTTGACTGCAGGATCTTTTAAAGCAAAAGGATCATTCTTAACTGAGCATTGAGGTATAGCAACGTTTATTATCTTCCAACATATTTGATGGCTGATGTCAGTATTATAACCTTTTTAATAATGTCAATATTGTGGCATGCTGCATTATGATAAATGTACCCTGAGAAATAAGAGTTAAAACATACTGGTACAGGGCCAGCCCCATGGCCTATATGGCCAACCGCAGTTCAATCCCTGGTGGCTCGTAAACTCTGAGTATGTGTGCATGTATTCCCTAAAGCCCAACGGGTTGGAGAAGGCATTGCAATATGACCACACCCCATCGGGGCTGCTTTCTCTCCTTTTCTCTTTTTCTCTCTCTCTCCTGTCTCTCTATGGTGGTGAGTGCACACGGCCTTTGGCAAATTACAAAAAAGAAAAAGATAGTGGTGCATTACTAGAGTCTCACTTAGTCTCTAATAGTGAGTCTAGACCAACACCATATCCTATGACCAAAGTGTCTCCCAGGACAAAGTCACTCAGGTTTGCAGGTGAAGACATTTTAAACTTCCTAATTTTCTCTCCGAAAGCTTTGTTAACTTTTAGTCTATAGTATAAACTGACAGCCAGATTAACAGGAAAAAGTCATACAAATGTAGTGATATGTACATGGACCTGGGAGTCCCCAAAGGAGGGCCAGAGACCGAGGGAGTAAATCAGTGTGCATTAGAGCTTTTTTGTTTCATTCTATTTTTTTCTCCCTTCAGTACTAAGAAGGTAGATATTTATTTCCAACACTATAGCCCCAATATTTTTTTCAAAACATTTTTAAAATTAATTAATTTACATTCATTCCCTGAGCATCATCACAGCATACAAAATGTGATTTCCCACCCAGAATATACTGCATAGTGATCATACATGTTATCATCAGTAATTTTCCATTTCTAGTTTCATATATATGTGTGTGTATATGTATATTTATTTTACCCCTATTTCCCACCCTCTGCCATTTCCCACCCTCCTCCCACACTATCTCAGGTGTCTATAGTTGTTTTCCATTCCTTTTTCTCCCCATATTTTATTGATTCATAAAATTTCTTAAATAATCTAACTACTTTCAACAGCAAGTTCAGGTGGTATATACATATCTGTGAATACATGTCTGACTTTAGGCGTGAAACTCTGAGTAGAATGAATATACTTATTATAAGGGAGCACCTAGCTGATGCTGTATAGCTTCCTATGGTCCTTAAATAGGTATTTTAAATATTTTAATTTCAAAAAAGCAGTTTTAGCTTTAATAAATCAAAGAAATACTAAGGAATTTTGCCTAAAACTTAAAGCCAGGAAACAGGTTAGGATTCTGTTCAATTAGCAGGTACATGAACCTATGTGCAGCTCAAGATGGAACAAAAATCCTTAAAACCGGGAAACAAAGCCTAGAAGAAAATCAGCAGCGTTTTAGATTTTTTTGCTCACGTGCTCACTGGAGAGAGAGAAAGGGAAAGTGAGAAATCACTCCCCATGGGGGGATAGCCATGCCACAATTCCTTCTTCACTCTTCTCTCAGAACTTTGGGCATACACACACACACACACACACACACACAGTGTATTTTTCAGGCCTCCAGGTCCAGAACTCCAACCGCAGAGTTGGTCATGTGGGATCCAGTGCCTTAACCACCACGCCACTGGCTGGCCCAGCATTAGCTTTTATACCACACAGACAGGAATAGAGACTTGAGGGTAACCTATAGAAGGTTGAGGGGAGAAGATGGAAAAGTCTTGTCATATGGATAAAATCTTCCAAGGGTGCCGGGCAGGGCACAGTGGTAAAATACAAGCTCTCAGAGGCTGACCCACGTGGGAATGTTCTGGATTCATGTCTGGGGAGCTCCCTGAATATGCCAGCAGGCACGTGCTTGTGATTTGGTCTGGCTGAGGAGGGGTTGATGACAACATCCATACCCCACTAGGGGTGCTGTCTTGCTTTCTCTCTGAAGAAATGAATGAATGTGAAAAAAGTTTCTCTGGACCAGTCTGGACCAGTCTCAGACCTCTTACGTACTTCTTCCTGTAATGGTTTTTCCTAGGCAGGTTAGGGGGCGTCAGAGAAAGTCTGCCAATGTCCTCTGCTTACTTTACTCATGCAAATTCCTTGCACAGAAGGATGGCTTTTTATAGCTAAATCTGTGCAGGCGGCTGAACAGTCATCTCTAAATACGCCAGAAAGTACATGTGCTGTGATGTAGTTAGGCCTTCCACACAGGCTTCCACTCGACCTGGACTATTTCCAAAAGCAAGAGTGTTCTCAGCAATGCATGGTTTCACCCGTCAGACATCTGGTATAACTGAGCTAAGAGACAATGTCATCTCTTCGTTTTAAGCCTTTTGAAGCATTAATCTAATATTGGAATTCCCTCATTGCATAAAACATTTATTCATTTCTAGGACCAGCAGTTGGCGTAAGGGCTATGTCACTGGACTCCCATGTGGTTGACCGTGGTTCAAGTCCTTGACCTGGTAGTTTAAACTCACACTGGGTGCATGTGTGTGTGTGCCCAGGATCCCGAGAGGAGAATGGAGG